CCAGTTAGGGGCAATCAGGCAGGCAGGCAGGTGAGCAGTTAGGAGCCAGCAGTCCAGGTTTGTGAGAGGGATGTCCTGGATTGAAGAGGGTGCAGGCTGGGCTGAGGGGACCCCCACTTGTGCATGAATTTCATGCACTGGGCCTCTAGTTTTATCATAAAATGGAATAAAGTAGTGATATGTGCCATAGCATAGATGAATCTCTAAAATATTATGCTATGTGAAAGAAGCCAGCAAAAAACATCACAAATTGTATGATTCTATTAATATGAAATATTCAGAATAACTTAATTGACCGAGATGGAACATAAATTAGTGGCTGCCAAGGACTGAGGGGAGTGAGTAATGGAGAGAAAATGCTTAATGGGTAAAGGATTTTACTTTAGAGTAATTATAATTTTTTGAAACTCTGTAGAAGTGGTGGTTTAGTAAATCACAACATTGTGATTTACTAAATGCCACTGAAGTGTTTACTCTCAAAGGCTTCATTTTATGTAATGTGAATTTCACCATATTAAATTATTGTTTTTTAAAAATACTGAGTGACAAGGTTGAAGCAGCACCATATCCCATGTTCCGAGGATCACAAATGGTTTAAATAAGTCTCCTTCATGAGGAGAGAATGCAGAGTTTGTCATTATTGATCCCTGGGAGGCTGATGAGGGCTGTGGGTAATTTTATAGTATTTCAAAAGATGGATTTGATTTCGCTCTTAAATATATTTATTATGATATTAGATTATCAGAGCTGGTGAAATTACTTTTAATGGCTATGCCTCTGTGCCATGTGCTGCTTTATTTTCCATGCTCCACTGAGATTTCAGTTGATCTCATTGATCCACCCAAAAAAATGAAAACAGGAGATAATAAATGCTTCTCTTTCAAGATGGATTCTCTCTGTGAAATGGGAAGATAATTATGCCAATGTCGATGGGCAGGTGAAGTTATTCAGGCACAAGTGCTTCATTTTTGGCTCTTAAATCATGTAGCTTAGCTGACCATATAAAAATGATGTGGAAAATTATAGATGGTGTTTATATTTTGTGTGAACCAGCCTGTGAAGCTGTTGGGAGTTATTTGTACATATATACGAATGGAAAGGCAGATGCTTCCCATGGCTATGGCGTAAATATCTAAATTTTTCAGATGAATAAGGGTTTTTGTGGTATACGTCTTTGCAAAGAACATTTTTAAGGTCTCTATATTTGGAAGTCCTCTTACGTGTTAGGCACCTTGCTATGTATGTTGCATAAATAATTTCTAATACTTAGAATATCCCTGAAAGGTAACTGTTATTATTTCATTTTCAGAAGTGAGATAACTGGGGTTCAAAGATGTTAAATGACATACTCATGAGGATAAGTGGTGTTATGATTCACCTTCAGATACTTAACTGTCAGACTAGACCACTTTGTGACTAGGATCCCATTGTGCCAGTTTTTTTTTTGTTTTGTTATAAAATCTTATAAAAATAGCTCACACATATTTCAGAGTATACTTATGACTATTAATTTGCTTCCCCTAAAGAAAGGCTCTTCACTTTGCTCTTTTCCTTAATTGGCCTGTATAGACAAACTATCAAATTGTTGGTGGAGAATTGACAACTCGTTGCACCGAGGAAGTGTGTGTACCAGTTTATATGAACGCTTAGCTCTTGAAAAACATTCCGGCACCTAAAGAGAATGGGTGCTGAATGGTGACTAGGGAGAATGTTAAATTTGGGTAATGGCAATTTAAGGAAGGAATAAATATAAGACAACTTGTGTGTCAGTCTAAGTCACTCAGAATTTGATGTCCAATAACTCTTCCAACATAGGCATTCTTTTTCCCTCATGTAGCTTCAGAATTAACTGTCTTCCAAATACCTTGTACTTTTCTACTATGATACCTTTGTTGGCACTTTGATGCCTGAAATGCCTGCCCTCATTGCCACCAATCCTGAACCTTTCTCTTTCTCCCTGTTGAAAGGGTTCAGCTGTCATGCTACCCCCAGAGGTCCTTCTCTTCCCTGCACTGCTGTAGCATTTCTTGTTCAAACACACATTTGCAGCTTGGCATGTACTTTTTTTGTTTTTAAGATATTTTTTAAATTGATTTTTAGAGAGAGGAAAGGAAAGAGGGAGCGATACATCCATTAGAGCAGCGGCTCTCAATCTGTGCGTCGCCACCCCTTTGGGGGTCAAACGACCCTTTCACAGGGGTCACCTAAGACCATCGGAAAACACATACATAATTACATATTGTTTTTGTGATTAATCACTATGCTTTAATTATGTTCAATTTGTAACAATGAAAATACATCCTGCATATCAGATATTTACATTACGATTCATAACAGTAGCAAAATTACAGTTATGAAGTAGCAATGAAAATAATTTTATGATTGGGGTCACCACAACTTGAGGAACTGTATTAAAGGGTCGAAGAATTAGGAAGGTTGAGAACCACTGCATTAGAGCCATACATCCTTTGGCTGCCTCCTGCACTCCCTCTATTGGGAATCAAGCCCACAAGCCTAGCATATGTCATGACCAGGAATCAAACCAGCAAACTTTTGATGTATAAGACAATGCCCAACCAACTGAGCCATGGCTTGGCATTTACTTTTGGAGATAGTTTTATTCTCATGTGTTTATAGCTATGAGTTCTAGTGGGGTAAATAAGTTATTTTCATCTATTTATATACCATCAATTACTCTGGACATACTATGTGCTCATCAAATAGTTGATAATTATATATAACTCTTGAAAGCAGAGCTTTCTCAGAACATACTCATAAAAATACCATTTATGGGATAGATGCTCCTTAAAAAGGGATGGCCATTGGTCAAATAAGCTTGAAAAACACTACATACCACTTCCACCCTAGGAAATTTATACTATATATTAGCATTTTCAAAACTGAGGAATTCTTTAGTAATATGACCTTTTTACTAATTCAACCCAGTAGCTTTCAGCCCTCCCCCCTTTTATTCTTTATTATTTGAAATGTTCTTTGCAAGACACTGCTTTAAAGTGTTTTGTATATAAATGATGCTACTAATACTTATAAATGTGGAAATTGCATTTTGATTAGAGATGTAATTTGGGTGTTTTGTTTGGCCTGCCTCTTTCTGTACTTGGAAAACCACTACCCATTAATTGTATTGGTGTGTGTGTGTGTGTGTGTGTGTGTGTGTGTGTGTGTGTGTGTGTATACCATATAATGTAGGCTTAACCTGAAAATAGATTGAGACTAACAGGAGAATGTTTGGGACTGGTCTTTCAGCTTGATTATGTGCTAGGATCTCTATTACTTCTCATAATATGTTTGAGAAGTTTTATTTGTACCTCAAGGGCAAGGAGCCTGGCCTCACTTACAAATATGAATGCAGATATTAGCAGTGCACACTCTTCTTTAGGCAGCTTGCTTACTGTCACGTGGTTTTATTTACTTCCTCAGAAAAGGAATATTGATCTCCAGGGAATTAGACATAGCATGGTTCATGGGAAAAGCAGAAGTTTGGGGTCAGAACATTTTAAATTGATTCCCACCTCAGGTCTGTGTGATCCTGTCCAAGGTTTCCTTCCAGAGCCACTGACTGCTTGTCTATAAAGCAGGGGTCACACCTGCTCTGAGAGTTTCCTACAAGGACAGTGCCTGGCACAGAGGTGACACTTTATAAATATTAATCCCCTTTGCAGTAGTTTTATGTCAGAATATGACAAGAGCATTTCACAGGCACAAAGTCATACACAAAAAACAGGCTCTCTCCTCGAGTTGCCATTCCACATTTCATGTTGTTACGTCAAACTATAAACGGTATCACTGTTGTTACCGTCTGCTGTTTTCTTGGGGTGACCATGAATGGGGGAATAGGAGGAGTTGAATTATTAATTGTGAAGAATATTTAGTTCTATAAATAGAGAAGAAATAACCTAAAAGAGATCTTTTTTAAAAACCATTTTAATAATCTGAGATATGGAAAGTAACTTAGAAGTGATCACCTGAGGCCCTAGCCAGTTTGGCTCAGTGGATAGAGCGTCGGCCTGTGGAATGAAGGGTCCCAGGTTCGATTCTGGTCAAGGGCACATGCCCAGGTTGAGGGCTTGATCCATCCCCAGTGTGGGGCATGCAGGAGGCAGCTGATCAATTATTCTTTCTCATCACTGATGTTTCTCTTCTTCATTTTTCCTCTCTGAAATCAATAAAAAACAAACAAAACAAAAGCAAATAAGATAAAAAATATATATTAAAAAAAGAAATGATCATCTAAGTCTTAACATCTGTCAATTGTAAATATATATTTATAGTAAATATATGTTATAAATATATATACATTTAAGTATTTTATAAGTGCATTCAAAGGGGGAATAGTAAATGTATTTGGAAGAAGTTTGACTGTCTTTCAACTTTTATCTCAACACATTATATAATTCAGCCATGGATCCATTTCCATTGTGGTTTTGGATTACTTGTCACTATGCACAAATAAAGTAAAAGAGTAATGGTGTGATCATCTTGCTTAAGGTTACGTATTTGGGGCAAAAGCACACACCAGAAAATTAGATTGGTAAAATTCTTTTTTATAGGGTAGGATAGAATGCTCAACATAAAACATGCTTTCAGGACAACAGGCTACTGTGACCCCCATTTTGCAGTAAAGCATATACTTGTTACCTATGGTTGTCAATAATGCATCAATCACGTCTGTCTCCAGCCAGCCATGGCTGAACTGCTGCTGGAAGAAGCCCACTGTGTCCCTGTGAAGAATAACAAGTGCCAGTTTTGCTGTGGTATCTGCCTTTCTTTATGCCAAATGATCTCCTGGCAGTTTTCCTTGACACAGGCATTATGAATGGCTGGAGAAACCATCATTTTCTGTACTTTATTGGTTTAGACACAAGGTGAAGTCTTCTAAGCTAAACGGAAGTAATAGAGGAAGCAGTGAGCCTCAGTGTTCCTTGGACTGGCCTGGATTGAGCATTAACCAGCCTGTGTCTTGGTCTGGTTGATTACAGGAGAAGATGTGTCAGGGAGTCTCTGCCCAGCATCTGTTCCTCCTGAACGGACGGCTTGTGAAATTCCCTGCAGGATGGATTGTGTGGTGAGCGAGTGGACAGAGTGGTCATCCTGCTCCCAGTCTTGTTCAAATAAAAACTCGGATGGGAAACAGACCAGGTCAAGGACTATCCTGGCATTGGCTGGAGAAGGTGGGTCATACTAAAGGCTTCAAGGAAGTCCATTGCCCAATTATTGTTTTCCAATAGGTAACTGTGAAGATCATATCACGGAAGTAGACACATATAGGTGACCTTCTATATGTATTCCACGAATCCAAATGAACACTTTCCTGTCATTGTGTGCCTGTTCTCTTTAATCCTCAAGGGTGTCTGTGCTGAGTTCCATTTATTTGCATGAATTGTTTTAGTCCATCTTATGTTATTTTTCATTATACTCTTTTAGGGAAGAAAACAAAGTCTGGTTGATACACATCCAGCTCATGTAGTTGGGGACATAATTGGAATATGTCTGGTAAGAAGGGTGCCAAATTAGGAGTCGAGAGACACGGCTCCTTAACTGGGAACTGCCGGCCACTTCGGCAAGCTACCTGATCCCTGTGCCCTGATTTTCTGTTCTCTCCTGCTGGCATGTGGTGAGAGAAGAAAGGATGACGGCTGTGCAAATGGCTTTGAAGAAGCTAAAATGTGTGATGGGAATGTAAATGGAAGGCATCAGAAAAAACTAGAGGAGCAGCTGTTGCTGTTATTGATAGCAGTGTCTGAAACCAGACGATGGGTGTCATTCTCTCAGGCCCTCCCTGGGCTTTGTCTGCCCACAGCTCAGTTGGAACAGCAAGGCAGTGTGGCCTCCGGATGCAGGGAGCTCCTCTTTCAACAAGATTCTGTTCTGTGATTCTGAGACAGGGGGCCAGTGTCAAGATGAATGAAGATTTTCATATTCTTAAAGTGCAATCGCTTCCTCTTCTGTCTTTTAGAATGTTGGATGGGGGGGTGGGGGGCAGTCTGTAGTATTTAATGGGGAAAAACTTTAACAAGAATAACAAAATCAAAGTCACAAATTTTCTTGAGCATTTGACCCCCTGAATAAAATAGTGTGAAAGATGGGGGGGGGGAATCAATGCTTTAGGTAAATACCAGTTTTCACATGGATATAAAAATATGAAAGAAAAGACAGTACTGAAATTTGATTGTCTGACTCACCAAGAGTGTGAAGATCCATATCTATCTGGTCTCCCAGCCTGAGGATAACACATTGTCAAATATGATTTCAGAGGTCAAGGCTGGCTTCCTCTTGCCAAACTTTAAGAGACACTTCTCAAATTGTAATAAGATGCACTGTTTGATGGAGGATGGGTGTGTTTTAAAATGGTACTTGATAAAATAATGCTATTTTAGCAAAGAGAGGCCATTTATAGGCAATAAGTGGGCTTGTGTGTGCATACCTCTGTGTGTGTGTGTGTGTGTGTGTGTGCGTGTGTGTGCATGCGTACGTATGTTGGACCCAGTATCAATTCAAGGTCATGGGCTATTTTATCTAACTAACTAATTTATTAGGCATAGTAATATTAAAATAAAAGCAGATTTCTTTAAAGTTTATCTCGACGATGGGGAGGGGAGTAGAATCAATCATTTTTTAAAATATAATTGACATGTACTGCTCCATGTTATTTAGAAAATGGATAACATTTGTCCTCAGATTATTATTCAGGACAAAAGAGCATGTCCTTAAAGTGGGAAAAGGAGTGCAGTTGCTTAGGCCTTTGAATAGCTGTGCCAAAAAAGCTGTTTTTCTAGACCATAAAAATAACAAAAACAATAAAAAAGAACAGCAAATAACAACAACAGGAGCATGTTAATAAAAACAGCAGTGAGCCTGGCTGGTGTGGTTCTGTGGTTGAATATCAACCTATGATCCAGGAAATCACAGTTCGATTCCTGGTCAGGGTACATGCGGGATTGCAAGCTTGATTCCCAGTAGGGGGCGTGCAGGAGGCAGCCAATCAATGATTCTCTCTCATCATTGATGACTCAATCTCTCTCTCCCTCTCCCTTCCTCTCTGAAATCAATAAAAATATATTAAACAACAACAACAACAACAATGGCTATACATTCTTTCATACTTTGATTTTTGCAGGTGGAAAACCATGCCCCCCTAGTCAGGCCCTCCAAGAATATCGCTCATGCAATGACCATTCCTGTATGCAACTCTACTGGGAGACATCGCCTTGGGGCCCCTGTGCTGAAGACACACTGGGTACTGCTCTTAATGCAACCATTGGATGGAATGGAGAAGCTGCCTGTGGTGTGGGCATTCAGACACGGAAGGTCTTTTGTGTCAAGAGTCACGTGGGACAAGTGATGACCAAAAGGTATTATCAATAATTTAGTGAAAGTGCATAGGATTTTTGCCTATTGGAGCATTTTTAGTTAAAAGCATTTTTTTAAGCACTGAATATGTCTCAGTCTGTGCTAGAGTAATACATTTTTGTTTTGTCTTGTTTGACTCTTAAAAATTTAAAAAAATATATGTCTTAACAAAGGTAGACACTTTACTAAGTTATAATATGTGTATTAGTGATTGGATAACAGTAAATAAGACCCACAAATAGGGAATCTGTTTGAGTAATCCAATTTTCTAGAGCTGATCTCAATAGTTTTGACTCTTAATCATGCAAAGACTGGGTCTACATGAAGGCAGATTTGAACTTTGAAATTATAGGGTTGTATTTTATTCTTCTTTAGGTCCCATTGATCTTTTCTGCTGTGAGAACTAAATCTATGCAGCCATTTTGAATATATTAATTCATTCCCTTGTGCATGTTTGCAATCTCATGGACACTGTACTGGGCACATGAAGTTGTAAATAAATAAATAAAAATCAGTAGGAGATTGGACATGGAGAGTAGGATATAGATAAAAAAAAGGCTCAGGAATAATAACGAGTGATAGAGGAAAAAGTGTGATTGAGTGGAAAGCACAGCTGGGGAAGTTGCATCTCTAGACTAAATAAAGAGACATAACTCTTCCTCGATTTATGTGGGTAATCTCGTGGAGAAGAAAACGTGAAGGACCTCTGCAGTATGCAGAGACTAGATAACTGGCCTATCCATAGAGGTTTCCAAGTGGCCATGTTTGAACTAGTCCCCTCTTTGTGGTGAAGACCCCACCCAGCCACAGGAGTGGTGGGCCACCAGGATGGACTGGTGCAAACTAGGCAAGTTAGAGATGTTCCCAAGGAATTTTCAAAATGGGAAAATGAAATCCTCTCTTTTTCTACTCCTGTTGCTCTAACTATATGAATTAAGAGTTTCCATAGCCCTGGTTAGGCCTGATGGAAAAAGTAAGAGGGGAGAATGAAGCTGATGCTCAAAAAGAAGCAGAAATCGAAGCAGAACAAATCCTGGCAGCATTAAGCCCTGGTCCCATCCCCCTTAAGTATACCGCTGCCTTTCCTGGCAACCAAGGCAAATGCATTTGCTCTTCTGCCTAATTCAATCCAATTTGTGTTGCTGCCATGGGCAACTCAGACACCTGATTAATCTCATCTTGGGACGCCAGAATGACAGGCTCTGGGCCTTATCCACACTGCCATGGAAACCACATTCACCGTGTGTAAGGAAAGTCATAGAAGTTCAGTTAAGGGAAATGAACTGCTGATGGCAGATATCGCGCAAACTGGCCAGATGCTGCTGGTGGTGGAGCCTCCGGTGGGCAGCTGGCTGTGTAAGTGAAGATAACTATGCCTTGCAGTGAAGCACAGTCAGGAAGACCTCATCACCGCCCTCCCCCGCCCACCAGTTGTGGTTTCCAAAGTGCTGGGGTTGGATCTTCTCCACTGTAAGGACCCCAGACTTTAGAACAGTGTTGGGCATGTATGAGTGTTCCATAAGCATTTTAAAATTTATGAATTAACTTGACCTATGTGCTTACCAAGGCTTGGATATAAATTAGAGAAAAACGAGAATAGATGATGCTTATTATTTGCCTCAAAAATGTATTTTATCTACCATAATAAATTTTGGCAAAGAGGACTGCCATGAAGAGTAATGAAGAGATCATACATATGGCCTTCTGCTCTTATTAACTCATAAATGTTATTTCTGTTTACCATCCAATGCTACATTGCTCATGATGTTTATTGGAATATCGAATTATGTCAGTTGTGTGTTGAAACTTGCCTGGTATCCTTAGCCTGGTATCCATGGGAGTTATAGCTAAACATGGAAATAATGTTTACATATCACCTACTTGAGGTGACTATCTAATTACTAAGGTTACGGTAAAATCCTAAATGGCTTAAAAAGGTATGAAGAGAACTCCTTTTATCTTGGGAAGGATTGCAGCCTTAATAATGTTATTTTTATGATGTAAATATTCAACTGCTAAAAAAAGGATACATGAAATGTTAGCTTTGTTATACAAATAAAAATAAATAGATACTGGATATAGGAATAAGACTTATGTGATATACAACAATATTCTTTATAGTGATAAGAACCTTTTGCATACTTGAAGTCTGATCTCCTACCTTTGACAAAACTTTGCTTAGTTCTGAATCACAACAGATAATAATTCCCTTGACGGGAATGCAATGTGTTTCTTTCTTAGCAAAGGAGAATTGGAATTGAGACTGACATCTAGCAAATAAATTATCATTACATTGTGAAGGCTATTTGGGCATGAAAAGTCAGATGATATGTTCAAATAGCACTCTAATTCCTTTTCTATCCTCATAATTACTTTGAATGAGACGGTTTTTTTAATTAAAGTCTTGCACATCAACTTACTCAATTTTGAACTCAATGATATTTTTATGCCCCCAAATCACAAGAACATAAGTTCATTGTTTAAAGCATAATCCACAAATTAATATACTTTTCTTTAAAAACTTATGTAAGTGAAACTAAACTATTATTATTATAGTGAATAACCTCTAGTTTTGTTCATTTTACCAATAAGAAAAATGAATTGCACAGATGTTTTCCCTAACACACACACACACCCACAAGCACACACAGATATTACTAATTACTTTTTGCACTGTTAATGAGGCTGGAGACTTAACCTAATTGTAATTCTTACTGTACATCTCCAAACAATCCTGCTAAACATAAGGAGCCTGATTGACTTTAGTAAAGTCAATTAAAATTCTTGAGGTTAATGAGATTAATTGAGCTATAAAAATAATAGCTACTGTCCAGTGAAACACATCATGAGATAGTGAGATTATCAACAGTAGAAAATATCCTTTTCTCTGCCCTTTTAAAAAATAAATATGTTTGTTCTTTTTCAAGTGAAAGCCATTGCAGTGGAGAAAGGTCCCCTGCCATTTGTGAAATCCTTGAAGTGGGGGTGGGGCAAGAGAAAAAGGAAAGGAGAGGAAAATCTCCTAAAAAAACAGTGGCCTTGGCGTAGAATGAAAGAAGCATGCCTCCATGGAATGGATCAGCTAACATAACGTATTTTACCTCTAAGCTCACTGCACTGGGATGCACAGAATTCCTTGCAAGTTCTCGCTTCCCTGGGTTGGTGTTTTGGTTTCCATGCAGTTGTGTAAGTGAGAATGTTACCATTGTATGAGTAATAGAACTGATCATATCAGAAAATGAGAACTAGCTAGGGCACAATGGAAACAGAAGTGAGAGCGTGTTGGTATATTTTTGGGGTTTTGTTTGGTTTGCTTCATGATTCAATGTTGTTTTTTCCAGCTGCAATGTAGAAAAATAATAATAAAGATTAAAAACACACAACTCAAAGCTTTCCAAAGGTCCTGATAAGTCACTCTCTGCCTTTAATGTAAAAACACCTGGCATTTTGTGAGCTATAGGAATATAAAATTCCAGTGAAACATTTAATGTTTAAACAGTGGTCAGGTTTGCCCCCTTAGCTGAGTGAGCTGGAACATCACCCCTGGGGTAGGAGGCCTGCTCTAGAAGATGGAGCACTGTGTGTCTGCATCTTGATTATGGAGGCAAACTGAAAAGTGACAAGTCTTTGTAGCTGCATTTAATACATTTCCTCACAATGCTTATAAGAAAATTTGGCCTACAGGGAGACCAAGAAACAATCATAGAATACTTCAATGCAAGTCCAGGAAAATATATGTGTTCAGTTGGGATGCCTTCATCCTTTTATCAAGAACACAACCAATTATGACAAAAGGCAAGGGCCATAGTTGGTTTGCTAAAAAGTGAATCCATTTCCTTGCATTTTAAGGCTTCAATTTTGTTTTGGAGAAAGCTGGATAGATTTGTCTAATATTCCCAGGGATTTATTTGTCTTCAGGCTCCAAAAGCGTATGATACTATTCAATCACTGACTTCCTGTTACTAATATTTGCAATGCACTAAGATCTGGCATTTTTAAGTTATGACATAAGATGGAGTTCTACGATCAAAGCATTCAAAGTTAGTGTATGTATTTTGTATGCGCATGTGCGCATTTGCACACACACAACAGAACAGCAGCACAAAATATGTCAAAAGTCTTTTTTCAGTCAGTGACAATACAAGAGTACAGAAAATAAAAGCCTGTAGTTTTTAGAAGTGGGCGGAGGGGCACATAAGTTACTAATGGTCAAAGAGAATATTTTTAAAGACTAAGAGGAAATTCATGGAAATTGAAAATGTAATGATCCTTGAAGCAGTAGACATTCCAACAAAGCCCTTAGTTCATGGACTCTATAAAAGCAATATGACCTGAGCATCTTGACCTTTGCCACTGAGGAGATACCATTTCTCTCTTATGGACCTAGTGGAGGAACACAGAGAGAAAGGGGGCCATATTGTGGAGAGTTGACATTAGGCTCAGTGAGTGATTATTGTGAGTGAGGGGAAAACAGTTTAAATAAAGTAGACAATATCAGTACCCTAGAAAGATGAACTCTCACTCGTAACTGAAGTGAGCCACGTCCCTGCAGAGCACGCCACCCTCTCCAGGAAGTCTGCAGCTGGCACTACACATTTCTAAGCTCTGTGGAGTGTGTGGGTGAGTGCGCAGTAGGGTGGTGTGGGCCCTCCTGCCCCACTATGCACACAGGGAGTTGGCTTTACTCAGGTTGTACTATCATTTCCAGCCAAAGACCAGGAGAGGCTAGAGAGGAGTTAGAATTCACAGCAATTCAGTTTAATTTCAGTGTATTTCAGAGTGTGACTAAAGGACTTGGGAATGATTTTAGGTTTTCTTGCTATCTCTACTAAAGTATGACATAAATTTTCCCTACCAGAGTAGCTTGTTTAAATAACACTATATGCTCATAAAGACACTCTAAGGATATTCTTTTTTTTTTCTTTTTGTTGTTAGATTCATTGAATTGAACTATTTGGTAGACAGGCTTTTGTGTGTTAAGCATAATTAATAAAAATGCCAC